CAGCTGTCAAAGTCAAGCCCCTTGATCGCTGGCCACCACGACAGCTTGGAGCTGTCAACTCAACCCCTTTGCATAGGGTGCAGAAGAGGGTGTGGTCCTCAACCGCGCAAGGCGGTTGTCTAGCGTTGAGAGATTAACCCCTCAAAGCGCTTGTCAGCTGACACTTGAGTGTCGAACATGACCCTCGAGATTATCAAGGGTCGAGCGATTATGGATACTATGTAGTACGCCATCATTGCGACCGCTTGCGTACGTTTGCATTGCGAGTCGATATGAGCTAACCTTGCGTCTGCGCGATTTTATACGAAGTCTTACGCACGACGCCTAACCGAATTCTGACTTAGAAAGTTATGGGTCGGATACTCAAGAGACTAGGAGTGTTGTTGTGTCGTTTGTGGTGACGTTGTTGTGTCATTTGCTTTTGTATATTTGCGAGTGTTGTGGTGTAACGCGTGGTGTGTGTGATGCGTCACGGTCACGGTCCTTGTCGACCGGCGTCGAGTCGCATTTGAGACCTCAACTCCCCAATGCGTCAATTCACGTGTGGGTTCGATTTTTGGGCGTTCGACCACGCGTACCCCCTATGCTACAACGAAGGAGAAATGCCCTCGGCTGGGCCACGTCTGCAATTGCATACGAAAAACCTTCGCATGTGGTTCAGTAGCTCGGCGGGGATACGCCCACCCAAGGGATGGTGACAACTCCCGCAGATAAGCGGTGCCTCGCGTGACCCTGTCCTGTTGTAGGGGCTCGCGAGAGGTACGGCTGGCGCACTCGGCCGGAGCGACAAATGCTCTCTGCGACAAGTCCTGCAAAATCCTGCGTGACGCGGCCGGGAGGGTCCCCGTGCGGGACCGATGCGCTCGACAACGGAGATTGGGGAGCGGTTTCTACTCTAACGCCGGACCTGGTGGGCATCATGGTGACTTCTTCCGAAACGGGGTCGGCATCATATCATTCAACTACCGCTCAAATTTCAACATCCGTAATTGGGATGGATGCGCCGGTGTCCACAATATTGAGGATATCAAACACACTAGGAGTGCTGCCTACCCCAACGATGAATCTGTTGGGCATTACAAAGACATCTCTTGAATCCATTTAGTATCAAGTTCGTTCATAATAACACCAGGAGTGTTTGCTACTCCGTCGGATGATCTGGTGGGTATCACGACGACATCTCACAAAACTGATCTATTATCGACTTCATCGACAACAGTAACGGTGATATTCTCCACTATGGTCGTGTTATCTGTTGGAAATGAGCTGGTCACGTGGTCCCCTGTGTGGTCACTGATGGGGGTAGGTCAGTTGATCCCGTGGGTGGCATCTGGTCTCTTCGGTCATCGAGTCTGGGGGGTGTTTTGAATGAGTGATTACCCCGTGTTACTGTGAACTGGGGAACCTACCCCTTGCGGAAACTGTGGCTCTCACACAACTTGTATGCTGAATTCTTCCTTTCTTGAATTGCTTTAAGTTCAGTTCATCTCAAGCATTGTGTTAACTGTTGGGCATATCCACTTAGGGTTTTGACTGAGACCCAGGATGTGCTCGACTTACTTTTGCCCTGCTATAATCCCCCACCCGTGTTTTTTATTTGTAGGGTTTGATCATTGGCAATTTGCTATAGTAGGGCAAAATTTGATTGTCTATGGGACTGAGAAATCTTCCCTTCAGGGGAAGCAATCAATGCTCAGTGCCCATGCTCTATTATCGTTGACTAGGGAAGCTGTCTCTGCGGGAGCAGTGGCCGAGGCTCTTCCAACCCTAATGGGGAGAGGCGTGTGTGTGCGTTGTATTTCAATTGGTAATTTGAGCCTTGGGCACTTGGCCCACATGTTAAGAAAAAAAAAAAAAAAAANAAAAAAAAAAAAAAAAAAAAAAAAAAAAAAAAGAATGTATCTTATGGCTTAAAAAAAAACAAAAAAAAACAAAAAAAAACAAAAGGATGTTCGATGGGTGAAGGGGGAGAAGCAGAACACTATTTAGAATCTGTTTCCAAGTTCTCTTAGTACCGGCCTTGGGACTTGAGTGTACTATCACCTATCTTAAGCTGCCATGTAGGCAATGAACCTAGGCTGCTTTTTTTTTTTTTTTTTTTGGGCCCCGTGCCCAAGGCTGATATTATCGAAAGGAAGATTGAGGCCAGGGTCCTAAAAGTCTACCCGGAGTGACCAAACCAAACATGCTGAGAACCGGGCTCAACGTCCCTCATCTGATGATGATGATGATGCTAATGATGATGATGCTGATAATGATGAACTTCTACAGATTCTATGAAATCTATGAGATAGTAGTTCCAATGCTGATAGTGATGATGATGATAATGACGATGATGATGATGATGATAATGATGATCAGTATGAAAAAGACTGAGAAGACTACAATTGCTACACACCTCCTGAAATCCACCGCAGTTTTCCAAACACTCAAGTATCTAAGGGATTTCCAACAGATCATAACAAAGCTCACCAAAATTGAGTCAGACTTATTCTCTGACAAACTCATCTAGGCCTCGCGCCCCCTAACTGCTAGGTTACAGAGCAACGCGAATCACTCCAGCTCCGGTGTTACATGCACAGATATGCAATGTACGTAATAATCGAGGCACTGCAATGTGATGAAAAGGACTGAATGGACAATACAGTGCGAGTAGAATCTCAACAGACAATGTGCATTCTCATACATACAAAAGGTGCTGAATAGCGCAGGGAAGACTTTGATACAAAGACTGACCTGACAGGACTCACCTCATTCACGTAGTTCAGAGTAACGAAGCAGAACGCTAGAGTACTACTAACTAGCACAATCAATGTTTGAACTCAGACTAAACATGCATTGTATCCATCACCAAGTGTGAAGGAGCCTGACGCTGCACACAGGAAGAAAGCGCCAGGTCCAGACATACACAGACGAAGAGATAAGGATCAGACGAAAGGAGGGAGGAAGATGGAAATGTCGTTAACCCCAAGTCTTTGTCACCAATCCCAAATAGTCCCTCGTTGCCATGTCTGAACCCCCGAAAGTCGAGTTTGGATCATATGTCACCAAGCTCTGTATCTCTTCTCTCATAGTCTACAGATGCAGGGAAGTCAGAAGTTGAGAGGGAGAGAAGAGATGGTAGACTGAGAAGAAGAAGAAGAAGAACTCTCTCTCTCTCTCTGTTACGAACCAGATACTAACCTGTGATGTTGGCGCTGTGCTGCAGGTACCTCGAAGACGAAGCTGGAGCAACGGCGCTGCAGGTAGGTACCTCTGGCCTCCGCCCAAGCTCTCTCTCTCTCTCCCTCTAGTACTACCTAGCTATGGCGCCCAGCGCTGGAGACTACAGCTACCTACTGCGCCCARYRCTGAAGACTACAARCTAACRCTACTACTACTACACTGCAGCGCTCCCTCCAGAGTGCTGCTCCCGAATCCTGAAGACTACAACTGCCGACTGCCTACCTCGGAAGTGCCTGGGAAGTCCTATGTACTACCTCGGCCTGCCTCTTGACTACTGGAGGCCTGTCAGGCCGAGGAGGCCACTCTTGCCAATGCCGAAGTGTGCCAAGGGCTGGCGTGGGAAACAGACTATTAATAGTTTATTCCCGAAACCCTGGTTCGGTGCCTGAGTTTTAGGGCCGGTCGTTCTGATAAACGACCGAAAATGACCCTTCGTTTCAGGCTAAAAATGCTGTAGCCATTTTTAGTCTGAAACGACACAGGGACAGACCCTGGAATTTAGGCTTTCGGCCTGAACCGACAGGGGGCCTGTAAGACCTGGATTTCAGGCTTTTGGCCTGAAACTCAGGCTTTCGGTCTGAAGTTCAGGCTTTTAGCCTGAACGGATGCAGGCCTGCAAAATGGCCTGCGTGTGCACGCGCAGCATGTAACCCCCCCCCCTCCTTATGAAGTCAAGCCGGGGCGAGGGCGAAGCCGTCGATCTGAAGGTGGAACTTGGACGCGGGCGCGGCGGGGAGCCGAAGGAACCGGCTTGCCTTGCATCTTGCGTTCGTAGCGTGCGAGAACGTATGAAGCTGTTGCTTGAAGTACCCTACGGGTTAACCAACGGTCAGCTCGGTGTGTGCAGTATGCAAAATGCACTAAATACTCAGTTGGCTTGTTGCCAAAGCGTCGCTGGGAGATGATGTCGCCGACCTCCTGAAAACCATCCATAGAAGGTGTGCCTTGCGTACGTCTCCCGGGAAAATCATTCTGATCCGCTGGCGTGTAGAGAGCCAGTTTGGAGCAGTGAAAGACTGGGTAGACCGGCAAGTGGCTAGGCACCTGAATCGTGAAGGAGGGTCCCTCGGGTGAGTCTCCAGCGGGCTCTATGATCGGCCAAGGCCCCATCCATTTCGGAAGGAGCTTGCGAGAGACGTCTTGTTCAAGGATGAATTCCGCGGCGGAAACCCAGACAAGGTCCCCGACGAGGAATGGACAAGGAAGACGCTGGCGATTGGCCTGCTGGCTCATTCGTTGTTGCGTCTTAGCCATCTGGTCGCGTGCCTTGACAAGAAGCTCTTGCATCCGACACAAGAAAAGAACATGGTCGTCGCTCTCGGTCGTGTGTGGAGTAATAGTGTCCAATGGTGATGTGACCGGCGAGCCATGCTCGAACTCGAAGGGCGATATCCCAATAGCCGGGTGGATGGAAGAGTTGTAGGCCAACTCGACATCCGGCAGTCGCTCAACCCAGTCTTTCTGGTCGGGGCGGATGAGAGTGCGAAGGAGAACCTGTGCGGTCTGATGCGCCCTCTCCGTCTGGCCATTGGTATGAGGGTGGCGAGTTGAACTGGGCTTGAGAGATGAGCCCCATCACTTGATGAGCGCCAACCAAAAATCGGACATGAACCGAGTGTCGCGGTCGCAGACGATCTTCTTGGGGTAACCCTTGGTGCGAATCCAACCAGCGTAAAGAACCTCGGCCAACTCCGGTGCCTTGGCATGCTAGCGACAAGGCAAAAACATGGCGAACTAGGTGAGTCGGTCGACCACCGTGAGAATCCCATCCACTCTGGTCTTGTGCTTGGGGAACGGGCCGGTCATGTCCATGGCAATCGCTTCCCTTCGCCGCAACGGGACTGGCAATGGTCGTAACTCGCCGTACGGACGATGGTTGCGGGATTTACAGCGTCGGCAAACCTCGCATGACTCTCAATAGCGTGTGACGTCGCCGAGAAGGCCGGACCACCAAAATCGCTGGCGAAGTCGGCCAATCGTGCGATTGACTCCAAAATGTCCAGTAGCGGGAGCGTCATGGAACTCGCCAAGAAGCCGTGTACGCAAGTGAGGATCACTTGGTACGCAAAGAAGGTCCTTCCCCCGCGTGTGGACAAGCAAGTACCCCTCTTGGATCCGGTAGTGAGAAGGAGTCGGATTAGAAGAGGAGCAATTCGCGTACTTTCGCGAAACTCGGGGTCGGCTTGGTAGCCGCGGATGAAGCTGTTCCGCAGGTCGTCGTCGATCTCGAAGGTTGAGTAGACTGCGGTACAATGATCCGGACGCCATGAAAGAGCATCCGCAAAACGGTTCGACTTTCCGAGAATGTGATCGGGAAAGAAGTCGAACTTGTCGATGAAAGCCATCCATCGAGCAATGGTGCTGTTGACAGTGTTTTGGGTCTTGTAGAAGACCAATGGATTGTTGTCCGTTACCCATCGAAACTGGCTTCGACCAAGGAGGAAGTGCCGCCACCGCTTGAGCGCATGGATGAAGGCGAGGAGGTCTTTCTTGCGTGCATCGTCAATGGAATGCACAAAAGGCACTTTCTTGCTGAAGTATTCAACCGGCTGCCAGTGTAGGCGCGAGCGGGTCGTATATCCGCAAGACCTCTGCAGACAATAGCGCGACTTAGAGAGCGAAGAATGATCCTCGCGCCTCCTCTCCGAAGTCAAACGACCGATCCTCGCACTGAAGCTTGTTCAAGTGGGCCGCGATCTTGGAGTAACCTTTGATGAAGCGCTGATAGTAGCCGGTAAGACCGAGGAACGAACGGACATCCGTGACGTTCCGAGGCTCCGGCCACTCTTGGACGGCCTGAATCTTGTCCGATAGCGGACTGATGCCCTCCGGTGTGACAAAATGGCCCAAGTATTCCAGCTCTTGCCGGACAAATTCACACTTGTCGTGGTTGGCCTTGTACTTGGCGCGGCGGAGCGTCTCCAACACTTATCGAAGATGCCCCAAATGATCCTCCAATGACCGGCTATAGACGAGAATATCGTCTAAGTAGACCAGCACGAACCGGTCCAACATTGCACGGAACTCATTGGTCATCGCCGCTTGAAAGGTCCCCGGGGCGTTGGTGAGGCCAAAAGGCATGACCACCCACTCAAAATGCCCATACCGAGTCTTGAACGAGGTCTTGTAGCGATCGTTCGGCTGGATCGAGATTTGATGATATCCCGATTTCAAATCCAACTTGGAAAAATACTTTGCGCCGCCCAGTCACTCAAGAAGATCGTTGATGCGAGGAAGAGGCCCCACATTTTTGACGGTTTGCAAGTTGAGCTTGCGGTAGTCGATACACAATCGTAGATCCTTGTTCTTTTTCCTGACGAAGAGAACTGGTGCTCCATATGGGGAGCTACTCGGGCGGATCCAGCCCTTGGCCAACAAATCATCGAGTTGTGCGCGGAGGACCTCAAGCTCCTCCTCGCTCATCCGATAGATGCAACCTTTCGGCGGCACGACATCGACCTCAAAAATGATCTCGTGAGAGATCGGCCGACCCGACACCACACCGGTAGGTGACTCGAAGATGTCGGTGAACTCGTCCAGCAACCGTACCACACGGGGGTCTGAAGACAAGTCTGTGGGTGAAAAGCTGGCTACCGCGACGGTCCGTAGGAAACATAGGCTGATCTCCTCGGACTGCTCGTAAGCGCAAGTCGCCCAAAATGATTTGGCCGTCACCACTTGGCACCGGATCGAAGAGTGCGGTAGAGGAATAGTACACGTCACTTCCGCGCCGAAGGCGTCGCGAATGCTAAGAGTCCGCCGACGGAAGTTGACCGTGTGATCCGCACTTGCAAGCCAAGGCATTCCCAGAATGATGTCGAAGTCTGTGTCGAGAATATCGAATGTCAACGGTTCGCATGCATGAGGTGCGAAGTAGACCGGTACGGCCTCGATGTAACGGTCGAGAAGTTGTTGCGTCTTTCCATCCGCCAACTTGATCGCCGTCGGGTTTGCCTTCCTCCGAACTTGTGTGCCAAGGCCAACCCTTTGCATAAAAGACTGGCTCATGAAGTTGCGAGATGCGTCGCTATCTAGCAAGGCGCTGCAGGACGCTTGCCCAACCTGAATGCAGACATACATGAGCGGTGCGTTGTTGTCATCATACCGCAGCGTGCGAAACTCGCGGGCCACCTTGGTAGTATACGTTAGGATGTCCCCCATTGTGACTTCGTCATCCGTCGGCAAAGTTGGTGGTGCATAGAAGGATAAGTAAGTGTGAAGATTAGCGCTAAGTGCTGCACATTGCGGTCCCGACAAACAGCCTGTGGTCGTGAGAGGAAGCCATGCAAAGTCCTCAGATGTGAGCGGGTCCAATGCCTCTATATTGAACTCGCGCGCCGAATCCCGTGACGAACCACTTGAAGACGATATGTCGTTGTTGCCGGACGGAGAAGAAAACGCACTTACTCCTTGTCCTTGAGCTTGAGTACCCAGCGTTGGAACGAGCCGGGCAGCATAGTCCTCGAAAGAAAGTAGAAGCGGAGCACTGTCGACTTCCGCGTGCGCCTCGGAATGAAGGCTGGTTACTCGCGAAGAAACCAGTTCCGAAGGCGTCGAGAGTGTCGTCGCGTCACTCTCGGCGGTGCTCAGTTTCCCTGTCTGCCCTTGCCTTTCAATGGGCAACCCTGCGTCCGATGAAGATCGCTATTGCACCAAAGGCAATAGTGGAATCTCTCGCGCGCCTTGTATGCGGACTCGGAGATGCCATACGGGGTCCATGGGCCTGTCTGAGCTGCTGCACCGGGCCTGGGGCTAGAAACGGTGTGTGTCTTCGTCTTGCCGCGTCCTCGGCCTTTGCCGGGGCGGCCACCTTCCCGGGCGGCTACGAATATGTCCCCTTCACTGGCAGACACAGCCTCGTTGGTTTGGTCTAACGGCGCTGCCGCTGCGACCACGACCACTCTTGGCCGATGCTGGTCCCTGCTCGGGTCTGACGCAGATGAACGGAGGTTCTTGGCCTCCTTGTTCGTGATAATGATCTGCGCAGCCTTGTCGAACAACTCCGCCGTCGTCGTCAAGGTGTCCTCGACATGAGTCAGGGCATTGCTTAATGTCGGACATGACCTTGAGATGAAGTAATGGCGGATGGCCTTGAAGCCCATCTGGATGTCTGGGACTGACGTCAAGCGTTGGTACTCGGCGATCCAGTCTGTACTCGGCAGAGTGCCTTGCTCGAATACCATGAGTTTGTCTATGGCTTTGATCTTTGGCGGCTCCACCTGGAACTGCTTGTGCCACGCCGCCTTCAGGTCATCCCAACTGATCTTGGTGTGCAAGTCGGCCTCTACTACTCCGTACTTGGACAGGAGGTTGTCCAACCAAGCCTGACACGCAACCCCTAAGCGAGAGTACAAGTAGGCATGATGCTTGTGTTCCTTGACGTCGGACAGCTGCAGCGTGAGCTCGAAATTGCGAAACCATGGAATCGGATCTGTCTTCATAGAGTCGCAAAAGATCTCCTGCCCGTCAAACTTTGGAGTTGACTCGCGCGGCTCTGTACTCGAGGTAGTGGCTGTGGTACAGACCCGCTGCTGCAACTGTCGCGTCGCGGTGAGCTGTAACTGTGCGCCATCCTGGAGTGAGCCGACGTGCATCTCCAATGCATTGAGGCGGTCGACAGTAGTGGAAGAGCCTGCGTCGTCGGCGGCGACTGGTCGCTGCTCCAACCGCTGAAAACAGTATTGGAGGTGAGCTAACGATCTGTCGAGACCAAGGATCTCTGCCTGCTGTGTAATGCAGGTTGCCAGGAGATCCATGAGATGCGAGAGGAGGAGCGCTATCTTGTTTGCGCTATCCTTCAACTGGCTATTCTCGGCTTCGGTTCGCTATTCTGCTGCCATGGTAAGTAATGCCCGCTCTCCGGTGAATATCTTCTCACGACGCTGTGCTCTTTCTTCATCGGCAGTCCTTGCTGCTGCCTCGTCATGCTGGCGCTGTTGTTCAATCGCCATCAGACGTGCCTGCTCCGCATCCTCTGCCCTCTTCTTCACTGCTGCGGCAGCGTCATCTGCCCGTTTCTTTGTTTCGGTACTCCAGGCCAACATGCGAGCCTGATAGGCCTCGTCTGTTTCTTGGGGCCTTTGGTCCATGACTGCTGTATATGAACGCAACAGCATAGACCAGGCCGGCGCCTGCTGCTGTGGTATCCCTTGCTGCTGACGTATCCTGCTGACGTGTCCTGCTGATGTGGTCTGCTGACGTGGTCTGTTGACGTGGCCTGCTCACGTACTGACGTAGTCTGCTGACGTGGCCTGCTGGCGTGGTCTGCTGACGTGGCCTGCTGACATGGCAACTCACCAATATCGCCGTAGGGGGTAACCGGATACAAAAAAAAATGGCAAGGCGAGAGATGGCAACAACATAGGTGGGGAGGGGTGGGTGGGATAATCGCCCAACTCACACTTA